ATAATGACGATGATGACGACGAGTTCAGTATTCAGAATGGGCAGCACCTATCGTGGTGGTAAATATAGGAAACGGTAAAGTACGTATTTGTGATTTCTCGACAGGTTTGAATTCTGGGTTGGAAGGTCATCAGTATCTCCTGCCGGTACCAGAAGACTTGTTCAGCCAACTCAATGGGGGGAAATGTTTCGCAAAACTTGGCCTGGCTGATGCGTACCTGCAAATCCCAGTTGCCCATCAGTGCAGAACGTTGCTGACAGTAAATACCCACCTCAGACTTTTTCAGTACAACCGGCTGCCATTCGGAGTGAAAACCGCACCCGGCCATTTTTCACAAATAATGGATACCCTGCTGAGCGATATCCCAAACACAGCAGTATACCTGGACGATGCGTTGATTATAGCCTCAGATCCGCAAGACTTGATACAGACACTGGAGAGAGTGATTTCGCGTCTGGAAGTTGGTGGATTCCGATTACCGGCTGAAAAATGTGAGTTCCTATTAGAAAATGTCAAATTTCTTGTGTTTATCATCGACAAACATGGCTGGCGCCCGGATCCCGGCAATACTAAAGCCATCAAAAAGGTGAAGCCACCAGAAGACATTGCAGAGCTCCGCTCGTTTCTTGGGCCCGTTAGCCATTACAGTGCTTTCTTACCAAGACTTCACTAATCCAGAAGTCCGCTGAACCAGCTACTGACAAAAGACAATGATTGGAAATGGACGAAGGAGTGCCAGCAGTCTTTTGATGCAGTCAAAGCAGCTCTCATTTCTGATCTACTCTTGACTCACTTCAATCCAACTTCAAAATTGTCGTTGCTACGGACGCTTCCAATTATGGTGTCGGTGCAGTTATCTCCCACGTTTGTCCGCATGGAGGAGAGAAGGCTATCGCGCACGCAGCACGGTCACTAACGGCAGCTGAAAAAAACTATAGCCAGATAAAGAAGGAAGCGCTCGCGATCGTTTTCGCAATGAGGGTTCCATAAGATGCTGTATGGCAGACATTTCACGCTTCTGACGGACCACAAGCCACTTCTGTCGATATTCGGGTAAAAGAAGGAATTCCAGTTTTTACGGCAAACCGATTGCAACGATGGGCGACCATACTACTGACCTACGACTTCGGTATACAGTATAAACGGACGCAACTAATCGGTCAAGTGGATACCCTGTCTCGTCTCATCAGTTCACACCCAAAGGAAAATGATGATTGTGTGATTGCAGCTATCAGTTTCGAATCAGAAGTCCAACGAATCCTGGCTGATAATGTGAGAAGACTGCCAGTAACAGCCGGCACCATTCGTATGGAGACATCACGGGACAGAATCTTGAAGAAAGCGATGCAGTGTGTACGAACATGTAGGCCAAATGGAGGCATACCTATGGAGTTGCGGCCGTGCTACAATCGACGTGGATCCCTTTCAGTTGTGGACAATTGTCTGATGTTTGGAGATCGAGTGGTGGTGCCAAGAAAATTGCAGAGGTAAATATTGCAGCAGTTCCACATGGAGCACCCTGCTACCAGCCGCATGAAAGCCTTGGCACGCAGTTTTGTTTACTGGCCAGACATGGATTCGGAAATTGAAAAATTCTGCCAACAGTGTGAATCTTGTCAACTTGCAACGAAGGCCCCTCCCAAGTATCAGTGGCAACCTTGGCCTAAAGCAGCGAAACCGTGGCAACGAATACACAGACTATGTAGGACCAATCAATGGCCAATCCTATCTCGTTTTGGTCGACTCCTTCACTAAGTGGTCTGATGTGATTCCGGTAAACAAGCCGACTGCCCAGCACACTATCAACGAGCTGGAGAAGCTGTTCCGATATTACGGCCTGCCAGAGGTGTTAGTGACAGATAATGGAACACAATTTACCTCGACTTCTTTCCGCGAGGGGTGCAAGGAAAAGGGAATTCAGCAGATGTTCTCACCACCATATCATCCGCAGTCAAACGGACAGGCGGAAAGGTTCGTGGATACGTTCAAACGTGCACTCTGTAAAGCAGCGCAAAGAAGGGTTTCACAGGATGCAGCTCAATCTTTCCTATGCTGGCTTGCCGAACAACCTCCTCGTGGTGCCAGCTGCGTGGTTGGGGATTTTCCTGTTCCAGAAAAGCACGGCAGTAGTCACCTGGAGCAAGATCGCAACGTCAGGCTCCGTAACTTCAATGTTGGTGACATGGTTTACCCCCGGGATTTTCGAAGGCCGTAGGGGTGGTCGAGCGGAACTGTTATCGGCAGGAAATGCGGAGTTATCTACGCGGTGATGGTTGGACGTGAGATGTGGCTTAGGCACATCAATCAGTTGAGACTGAACCATGGCAAAACCCATGGTCCCCACAAACCACCAGCTTTGCATTGGGACATTCTACTAGACACGTTCGGGCTGTAAGTTGAGGGTCAGCAACCCGACGAGACGAATCAAATGCTGCAAAAATCAGATACACAATGCAGGCCGGCTGGGAAGCGGAGAAGACCACAACAGCTGCAACTCGATCCCCGGACGAAAAGCTACGAACACAATCAGGTTCGAAGGGTGTGCAAGCTGACTCAATTCGGAAAGGGAGGTGACAGCTGGGGGGGAAAGCTGGGTGCCAGCGCGCGTGTGTTTGCCACAAATCGTGCTTGGGAAAGACCATGCGAGCGTGTTGCCGGGGCCCAGCCGAAAGCGCGGCTCGATGCGCGTGCATTCGTCCTGATTGCTCGGTGTCTGGTAAGCGAGGTCGTTACTGACGGATTGCATTCTGGTCGAGGCACATGACCATTTTTGGACATTTAGAATCAATGGAACTTCGGATTAACTGCTTACAAAGCTGACAGCTTTTCCTTAGCCATTTGCGTATTCCTTTTCCACTACATAATTGGTGACCCCGTTTTGAACTTATTTTCGGTTTTTAACCTTTTTCTTGAAAGCTCATAAATCCTGTCTTTTGCTTGCTAATCTAAATGTCCTCCTACCGCGTTCCTTCTTTTGCTTCCGAAAACATTATTTATTTCAGTTCCTCCATTCGATGCTTCCAACCCGCGTGTTTGGTTTTTACAGTTACATGCACTGGTTCAATGTCCATGTATCACCTCCCAGTTTACCATGTTTTCTCACGTTGCCTCGAATATCCCTACGCATATCGCTGCCGATGTCGTTGATCTACTCACCCATATTCCACCCGACGCGCTTTATGATAAACTGAAACCCACCATTTTGAAGCGCACCGCATTTTCCGAGGAAGCGAGACTTCAGCAACTATTGTTGGACGTCGACCTTGGCGATCGCAGCTGTTCCGATACATGCGTTCCCTTGTCGAATCAGCGAGAGTTGACGACGGCATCTTGCAACAACTATGGGCTACACGTCTTCCACTCACCACCACTGCTATTCTCGCTGTTTCCGCTGGTGATGTCTCTTTGGACAAGCTTGCAGTGATAGTCGATAGAATTTGAGTGTTGCTTCAAAACACCTACTGTTCATGCGGTAGACTCTTTCAACCACCACTCTGGGAAACGACCCTTTTGAGCATTTGTGTCACCATTTGTCGAAACTCGAGCTCACAACCTCGAGTGGGCAGTGCATGTCAAGTAGAAGTCGGAGGTCATCCTCAGGAAGCAAATGCCGTCTGTCCGAAAATTCCTCACAACATTTCTGCCATTACCATCGTCGGTTTTACGATAACGCCAGGAAATGTCGGCCTGGATGCACTCATCCCAAAGCACTGTGCAACGCTCCACAGGGAAGCACCCGAGCCAGCCAGTCACCGTGACGGTTGTCTAGCCAAACTCCTAGTCGTCTCTACTTCCACGACTCAACAACCAACCCCTCCTTGGTTGACACGGGTGCCGAGCTCAGCGTTCTACCTCGCCGATTAGAAAACCCTACCTTCCTACCGGCATTACTCTGCGGGCGACTAACAACACTAGGATCCCTATGCATTGCCAAAGCTCCCCACACTTGATCTAGGACTCAGACGAACCTTACCCTTCGTCTTTCTGGTCGCAGACATTCAGCGTCCTTTCATTTGTGTTGATTTTCCCACGAAATTTAGTCTGAGAGTATACTTAAGCTGCAGAAAGCTGCGCAACCGTTCCACGTTTCTTACCGTCCAAGGTAGAGTCACCTCGATCGGTTTTCGACTGGCACTGCCTACAGAAATTTGCTCCACCAGTTTCCTGTGCTTCACCAGTGGTCCAGCCAATTTCCAGATCCTAAGCACGAGATTACACACCACACCGTCACGAGAGGACCTCCAGTCATTTC